TAACTGTGATTTGAGAAATACATAGGTTTGAGTAACATGCTTAGTGGCTAGATATGTGGATATATCTTTAATATTACCATTTTATTTATAAAGCTTCACACTTAAAGCTTCGATCTCAACATTCTATGCTTATGATCAAATTATTTGAAAATTGTACAGACTCTTTTTGGATCATATAGATTTTTCTATTTTTCTAGCAAAGTTATTCTTTCCATGGTATTTAGCTACCTACCAGACTAAACTAAAAAACAAAATCCACACCTTTATTTTCCAAATTAAGATGAACTTTAGATATATCAATAAGAGAAAAAATCTGATTCTTTCCCACCACAGAGCTCAGAATGTAGCTTTCCTTCCTAAAAGATTAGATATTTTCTCCCTATCACTTGCTCTGCTGACAAATTCATACTTATCCCTAAATAGAAATTCCTAATTCTTATTTTTTCCTTGATTAATGTAGCTAAAAACTGATAAATACATAATAATTTTTAAAATAGAAATATTTCGGTCATAAAATGTTTCTTATATTCTAAAGTGACATATCAATACAATGGGGTAATTATGACCAATATTTTGGCTTTATTTTCATATGTTTATACTGATAAATCAATAAGCCTGACCTAACTTTAGACAATCATATGTCTAACCAAAATCTCTATCTTACATTGATAAATAGCATCTGCTGCTTTTATACCTAGTTTTATCTTTTCAGGTATGTTTTACCTCTTCACCTGGATTATAACATCCTCAAAAACACATTGTCATCTATATTATGTCTCCTGTACAATCTTATGTATTTTGAAGCCCATATACTGAGATTATCACAGTTCTTCTTAGCAAGAGATTTGCTGAGTTCTGAATTACATGACTCTACTGAGTCCCATGTTTCAAAGATGCAATGGTTTATGAATTTATCATATGAAGCCTGTATAATTAGAGGGGAAACTTTACTTAAAGAAATAATTCCATCCTGAATTTAAAGAAAATACTAGGTATCTAAAGACAATGTCTCAACTTACAACATTCTAGTATCTCAGTATTATACTGGTGGATTATTATATTTCCTAATGGGAAATCCAAAAACACAAAACTAATACCATACAAACCTTTGGTAACTTCACTTATAAAAATATGATATGGTTATTTCCCAAATATATTTGTTGTAAAAAAGTATAAACTTTTTTTTTTTATGTTCAGTTAGCCACTGTATAGTACATCATTAGTTTTTGATGTAGTGTTCAATGATTCATTAGTTACGTATAACACCCAGTGCACATCACAACACATGCCCTCCTTAATTCCCATCACCCTATTACCCCCTCTCCCCCAGGGTCCATAGTCTCTCATGGTTCATATCCCTCTCTGATATTTCCCCCTTCAGATTTCCCTCCTTTCCCCTGTACTCCTCCATGCTATTGCTTATGTTCCATGTATGAGTGAAACCATATGATAATTGTCCTTCTCTGCTTGACTTACTTCACTTAGCATAAACCCCTCCAATTCCATCCATGTCAGTGCAAATGGTGGGTATTCATCCTTTCTGATGGCTGAGTAATATTCCATTGTATATACAGATCACATCTTCTTTATCCATTCGTCTGTTGAAGGGCATCTCGGCTCCTTCCACAGTTTATAAACTTTTTTTTTTTATGTTATGTTAATCACCATACATTACATCATTAGTTTTTGATGTAGTGTTCCATGATTCATTGTATAAACTTCTTTTATATTATTTCCTTTCTATTGTGTTTCAGGCATTTCACTATAAGGTAGATAAAGTAACTTCCACATTGAAAAGAAACAAAGTGTGGTCAAGGTCAAAAAAGTTTCAAAAACAAACCTGCCCAAGGCCTGAATTCCTAATCACCAAGTTATACCACCTCTCAATAGCACAGCTAGATCAGATAATATGAAATAAAGTGAAAAACATTTGAAACAAGAAATAAAGATATGCATAATTATACTTTAATGTGATATTTCAATGTCAATGGTTTGAATATAATAAAGAACTCTGACTTTTAAAACTAATGCTGATAATATTACTACCTATATTGACCACCTGTTGTTTTGACTTCTTAGCATCTACTCCTGCCTTCTTTTATCAACATCAGCCATATTCAAGTATGGAATCACTCTTCCCCTTCTCACTTTCACTCTGCTCCACAGTTTGTCCTATAACCTGCTCTAGTCAATCGTATCATCGAATACTCCCAGACACAACAATTGCTTCACTATAGTCATGTCAAATAAGCTAAGCTAGTCAAAAGCAGTGACATTCAGATCTCAGTTTTTGTTTGTTTTGATTTTGATTAAATCCACTGGATTTATTGAAAAGGTAAAAATCTGTCCCAGTAGCTGCAGAAGGTAGTAACATCACCTTTAGAGGACCCTCCTTGAAAATGAAAACTACAGAGAGGAAAGCAGAGCAAAGACAGGCAGATGGAAAGAATGAGCCTCCATGACACCATTTGAGTACTAGACCCAGCCATACTTAAGGAAATTTCTATCTCTATAATTTTTAATTATATGAACCAATAAGAACCACTACCCTTGGTTTTTCTGAAACCAATTTACATTGCGGCTTTTCTCATTAGCAAATGAAAGTTTTGAATTAATCACTATGCCTCTGTATTTATATTGTGTTCTTGCAATAAATATATTCACATCTATCAATTAATTCTCAAAATAGCAGTGTGAGAAATGAAGAGCATATGTAATCTCCATTTGATACAATGGCCACTATTTGAATAACTTCATTAAGATCACAGTTAATGTTAGAAAAAATTTAAAAATATTAGATGTATTTGCCTTCCTGGTCAGCTGAAATGGTAAGAATATAATAGAGACATTAATCAAGTAATCAATAAATAATTGAATGTGAAATGTGAAAGAGAAAACATATTGAGACTTTAAGAAAAGAAAAACAATGGTAGCTTTACATAAATATAGAAGTCAGAAAAAATTAATGTTTAAGGGGGCTACAGGAGTCATTAATTTGGTTTTAGGCATACCTAGCATAAGATTCTGGTAGGATATCTAGTTAGACAAGTCAGGTCAGCAACTTTAAATATTAGACTTGCATTCAGAAAAGCCTTCAGAAGAAGAATATATATCTGTAAGTCATTGGGAATGTTGATAGTTGAAGTTATGGAAGATACAACATAACTAATACTTCTATGGATTTTTAGATTTCAGGTCCTTTACTAATATCACTTCACTTAATATAATGACTGTAAAAGGATGGTGATATCACTCCAATTAACAGATGAAGAAAGGAAAGCACAGAGAGCTTAAGTAAAGGGTCCCCAATTCCCATATATATATATATATATATATATATATATATATATATATATATATATATATATATATATCAGAATTAGGATTTTAACCAAGGTGTCTCTGACTCAGAAAAACAAAAACAACAAAACTTCCATGAATGAATGAATGAATGAATGAATGATGTTAAGGGAGAATGTTTAATAAGAAAGTAGATTCATAGAATTCAGAGAATACAGAGGAGTATCAGAGTATATGTAGGGTAACAGAAAAAAAAAAAAAAAAAAAAAAGGCCAGTCAGTTAATAGTCTGCTTTAATATACATCTCAGAATAAAGAAGAATGAGTATTTATGAACTACGGACTGAAAAAAGGTATTTTGTGCAAGCAAATAACACTGTTCCCAGTTTTAAGCAGAATCACTAAAAGATAATTAAAAGAATTTAAGATCCTATTTATAAATATATAGATAACTTATGTAAACTCATACATGTATTGTAGAAAATGCATTTGAGTTTTCTAATATAATTCAATTGGCATTTATGAGATGTAATTTTCCTATTAGACAAAAAAATTGGAACCTAAAAATTAGACTTTATTAAGAGCAGCTAAATTGTTTTCACTTTTAAACTGTATTAAAACTGAATTACAATCATTACTTTCTGAATTGGTTAGTATCTCTTTTCTCTATAATGAGAATATTAATACTTACTATCTTCATGCTATCAAATATATACATTGCTCCACTTGAATTCAACATTATTGAATATAACATTAAGGGATTTTCTAATTGATTTCACAAAGAGTATCAGGCACTATCATGTTCCAGGAAACTCTGTCCTTGGGAGCTTATCCAGTAGAATTACATCGGAAACAAACAAGTATGATACAGTGTAAACCAATGGGGAAAAACAGAAGGTCCTTCAAGGTAACTACCACCCAGCTCAGATGGTGGTCAGCCAGCAATCACTGGCAACACCATACATCACTTAGTCTCCATTCTGAGACCTTAAAGTGGGAATGGCACTAGTTCACTGGAAAATATCAGTAAACTTTCCCTTTGCATTTATATAATGCACACTTAGAAATATCCTAATTCATTTGATATTTCAGGTTCATGTAGTTTACACTTGTTACCATTAATTTCCTTGTAAGAAAAAAATCTATTATTTATTCAATATAAGATCAAATCTAAATTTAAGTGAAATGATCTGTTTAAATAGCAAAAATATAAAAATATTAAATACTGTAAAGTCTTAATTTAGAGTAATTTATTTAAAATAGTTACAAATAAAAAAGTTACAAATAGCAACTTTCATTCCTTATAAAATGCAAGCCAACTTTAAGCTAATAAGTTTATATTAAAAACTGATCCCATTTTAGACAACTAAAGCCTATGACTATAAAATAAGCCATCCAAGAACAGTGCACCCATAATCACAGTGTTAAAGAAATAAAGTGCTGCATGTCCCTAAGGTAAGGTAACAGAATGAAACTTGAATGGTATATAGTTCAAACACATGAAGGTAGAAGATGCAGAAGTTATTCGTTGAGATAGTAAAGGACAGATTGATATTTAAAATACTGTACAAAATTACTTCTGTCCTTTCAATATACTAGTATTCACACATTCATTATAAATCATAATTTCTGAGCAATCTAATTCTGATCAGTTATCTAATTAGTTTTACAGAGTTCTGAAAAATCAAAAAAATAACTTACTGTTTGGAAGGTTCAGGAAATTTTAGTTCTTCTCTTTTCTTCATTTCTATCGTTGGTAGAACCACAGCAGCACATGAGACTACGGAGTGGTAAGAATCCTCCCGACAAACTGCTTTATTAAAAAAATTAATTGTAAATGTCAAAATTATTTATTGACTATTCTCACTTTCCATTTTTCCCTTCCTTTATTTTCAAACAAAAGAGATAATTTAACTAAAACATTAATTATCATTAAATTACCCTTAATTATCATTTTCCACTCTGTCTTTCCACTTGCTTGCTGAATGACCCTAGGCAATTTTTCTTTTTTAAGTCACACAGTGGAAAAGGTGTTGCCAATACTTTATAGTCCTTCATTTAAAAAAGCTCTGCACTGAAGAATAAGAAGTGCATAAATGATATATAGCTAAATGAATCTTTGTAAAATGAACACACCTGTTTAATCAGCATTATGATCAATAAACATTACCAGCACCCTAAAATTCTCTGTGGTACCCCTTCCCAATCACTGTTGTAGCCTCCAAACTTAATCATTATTATTACTTAAACAACCATAGATTGGGTTGGTCTATTTCTGACCTTTGTATAAAGGAAATCATGCTCTTATGTGTGTGCACTATTTTATATGTGGCTTATTTCATTCAACACACATTTGTAAGACTCATTCATGTGCCACAGCACTCTGTCCATTCTCAGAGCTGTGTAGCAGTCCATTGAAGGAACAGACCACAACACATTTATACATGTTATTGGTGATGCAGTCCATTGCAGGAATAGACCACAACACATTTATACATGTTATTGGTGATGGACACTTAGACAGCTCTAGTCTGAGGCTATTTTGAAATGTCTGTAAACAGGGCGCCTGGGTGGCTCAGTTGGTTAAGCGACTGCCTTCGGCTTAGGTCATGATCCTGGAGTCCCAGGATCAAGTCCCACATCGGGCTCCCTGCCCAGCAGGGAGTCTGCTTCTCCCTATGACCCTCCCCCCTCTCATGCTCTCTCTCTCTCTCATTCTCTCTCAAATAAATAAATAAAATCTTTAAAAAAAAAAAGAAATGTCTGTAAACATACATGTACTTTTTTTTCTTTTGGTGCACAAATAAATTTGTATTGAAAAATACCTAGGAACTGTTCTTAGGATATGTCCATATGTTTCACCTTCAGCTTTAGTAGCTATTGCTAAACAGTTTTCTGAACTGATTGCACTAATTTGCATTCCCCAAGACAGAAGAAGAGCTTCAGTTGTTCCACGTCTGTATCAACACTTAGTTTGGCCAGTTTTAAAAATTTTAATATTATATGAATTTTTTATGGCTGCATGACAAATTAACACAAACGTAGCAGGATAAACAGCACCCAAATTATTATCTCATAGTTCTGTAGGTAAGAAGTCTAGTGGGCTCAGTTGAGTTCTCTGATTAAGGTCCCACTAGGGCAATGTCAGGTTCGCAGCTAGGCCACACTCTTATCTAGAGTCTCTGGGGGAAGAACCCTCTTTTGAGCTCACTAAGGTTGTTAGCAAAATTTAGCTTCTTGGAGCAGTAGGAATCAGGTCTCCTTTTCCTTGCTGGCTATTGGCCAGTGACCACTCTGAGCTACTAGAAGCTCCTCCAGGTCAGTGGCCAGTGGCCTGTCTATCAAGCAATGAAGAACATCCTTCACATTGAAACACTCTCATGCTTCAAATTTCTCTCATACTCTGATTTCTTATGCTGCTAACAACTGTGGGGGGGGGGAATTCTCTGCTTTTAAAGGGCTCATGAGATTAGGTTCGGCCCATATAGAGGATCTCCTTTTTTTTTAAAGACTTTATTTATTTATTTGACAGAGAGAGAGATAGTGAGAGCAGGAACACAAGCAGGGGGAGTGGGAGAGGGAGAAGCAGGCCCCCCGCAGAGCAGGGAGCCCGATGTGGGGCTCGATCCCAGGAACCTGGGATCATGACCTGAGCCGAAGGCAGACGCTTAACAGCTGAGCCACCCAGGCGCCCCTAGAATATCTCCTTTTTGATTAGCTCAGGGCCAACTGGTTAGTAATCTTAACTACATCTACAAAGTCCCTTCTGCCATAGAACATAACTTAATTACAGTAGTGATGTCCCATCTTTCCAGGGGAAGAAATTATACAAGGGTTAGATTCGTGTGTCAGCTTAGCCTACCACAGCTATTCCTGTAAGTGTATGGTGGTATCACATTGTGGCTTTAATTTATATTTTACCGATAACTAATAAAATAACTGTAAATTCTTGTTTTACATGATTCTGATAAGCACAAATTTTAGTTATATGGTTTAGTTTAATAATACAAGGAACTCCCAAAAATATGATTCACATTTCAGTTCACATGGTACATCTACTATGTGTGACTGTATAAATTACAAACTTCTCTAGTAGCCCTTCAATCCACAAATCACTACACAAATAAGAAACGTGGATCATGATTAGTGACATAGACAAATTCCTTCTTTCAAAGTCTATCAGTGACAGGTCACCATGCGTGGACTACTCAGATTAAGCACAGACCTCAAAGTATGTAGGCACATTGCTTCCTGGTCTCCCAGTGATAAACTTATGTGACATTTTACAAAAATAGATACTCTAAGGAAGGAATTTGACAGTGGAAATGAAAATGTAGCAAACAAATTAAAACTGCTAGTGATGTAAGTGATATATGAATTGATTATAAATGAAAGGTCAATAATTGTTGATCTAAGTACTCATTTAAAGAACTAAGAGGTGAACAATAAATTAACCCCCTCCCCAATACATAAAGAGGCAAATACTAAATATGGTAGCCACATTGATGAAAGAGAAGGCAAAAATACAATTAAGGTCATGCAAATCATGTGGGGCTGAAGTGTGGGACTATGATCTCAAAGTGAAAGATCCTTAAGAAAAGATCTTAAGGTTCTCCATCTTTCCCCTAAAAATATTTGCTGAAGTCTGAGATATAAAACAGATGATCGCTAAAAGCAGAGCTGAATTTAAAGCAATCATGTGGCACTCAAGAGGCAAACATTAGTGTCTAGTATGTGTCAAAGGCCAGGGGCTAGTTTCTTCTTTGTCTCTCCAGTGCCATCAAATAGATTTTTGTTTCTTCTTTTTTTTTTCTAAGTTTAGTTTTGTCTACTTATTCTTGGCATGAACTTTGAGTCTACATCACACAAAACCATCATAGTTGGGAGAAAGAAACTCTATTACAGTTTAAATTTCCACTGCTGCCTTAAATGATGCTAGTGAAGAAAGAGACTAAGAATGATATTGTTTCATTCCTCTGGGATACCACTCACATACTCAACAAATATTTAGCGAACTAACTGCTATGTTCCAAGAAGTATGCTTAATGGTAGGATTCTACTGTGGGCAAGAAAGAAATAGCCCCCTCCTCCCAAGTTTTTGGTAAAGCTTCAATTTCTTCCTTTAGAAATATTTCTCAAGTGTTAGAGCAGTAAGCTTCTTACAGATTAAGTGAAAGCATTTATCTAAATCTCTATGAGGGAAAATAGAGTTATCTTTAAAAAGGAAAAGAGAGAAGTGAGCAGGAAAAGGGCTGTAGGTGAACAAGAAATTTTTTTTCAAAAATAAGGAGCATTCGTTTACTCAAGGTAATATTAGTATCAATACTTAGTTTTTATTATATACAGGCTGGAACAAGTGGCATTGCTCTCAAAGATACTGAAGTTAAAAAAACAATGGTCAGTAAGTCAATAAAAAATAAGCCTCATTAATTATTACATAATGGAAGTGATAATACACTGATCTAAAGATACATGGTTAGGAGCTTCATATAAATGACAGAGCTCTTATATTTAGCTGAAATTAAATTACACTCAAGTTTTAATATCTTTATATTTCATCTATCACAAAATACAAGAATTAGTGTAAAAATGCAAGTTAGGCCAATAAGTAATAGAGAAATTATAACTTCAAAACAAGTGAATGGAGAAGATATTTGCAAATGATATTTCCAATAAGGGATTAGTATCCAAAATACATAAAGAATTTATACAACTCAATACCAAAAAAAAAAAAAAAAAAAAAAACACACAATTAAAAAATGGGCAGAAGATGTAAACAGACACTTTTCTAAAGACATACCAGATAGCCAACAGACACATGAAGAGATGTTCAACATCACTAATCATCAGGGATATCACCTCACACCAGTCAGAATGGCTACTATCAAAAAGACAAGAAATAACAACTGTTGGTGAGAATGTGGAGAAAAGGGAACCCTCCTGCACCATTGGTGGAAACAAATTGGTGCAACCACTGTGGAAAACAGTATGGAGATTCCTAAAAAAAAAGTCAAAATTGAAATACTATATGATCCAATAATTCTACTACTGGGTATTTATCCAAAGAAAGCAAAAGCAATAATTCAAAAAGATATACACACACCTATTGCAGCATTATTTATTTTTTTAAAGATTTATTTATTTATTTTAGAGACAGAGCACACAAATAGGGGGATGGACAGGGAAAGAGGGAGAGAAAGAATCCCAGGCAGACTCCCAGCTGAGCAGGGAGCCCGGATTTGGGACTGGATCTCATGATCCTGAGATCATGACCTGAGCCAAAATCAAGAGTCAGACGCTTAACTGAATGAGCCACCCAACTGCCCCTGCAGCATTATTTATGAGAGCCAAGATATGGAATCAACTCTAGATACATGGATAAAAAAAGATGTGAAATACACACACACACACACACACACAGGTATATTGGCATATTACTCAGTCATAAAAAAATGAGATTTTTGCATGTGGGACAACATAGATGGACCTAGAGGTAGTATAAGTCAGATAGAGAAAGATAAATACCATATGATCTCACTTATATCTGGAATCTAAAAAACAAAACATATAACCAAACAAACAAAAACAAAAGAACAAACAAAAAGCAAAACAGATTCATAAATACAGAGACATCAGACAAACTGATGGTTGCCAGAGGGGAGGTGGGTGGAGGATGGCGCAAAATAGATAAAGAGGATTAAGAGATACAAACTTCCAGTTATAAGATAAATAAGTCATGGAGATGAAAAGCATATCAGAGGGAATATGGTTAATAATATTGTGATAAAGTTATATGGTGAAGGATGTTGTATG